GAAACGCCTAACGTTGCCTGGTAGCGTGCTACAGGAAGAATGTCAGCAGGTATCGGGGTTCTTCTTGCTTCCAGTTATAAGCAGGACCAGTCATCACATTGCGCTAGCCACGTACGTGACGCTGTTTAGATTTTGTGATTCCCACACCAGCGTGGTAACAACGATGTCTTCGTGGTATGGATTTATTGTTCTATAACTATTACAGTTTCATAATTTAAAGCCTGTGTTAATTTCTATAGCTGTTATGTATTCAATGCAACGCATTTTTAATTTATAATCCCTGTAGTAATCCACGAACGCTCAAATGAATGTCATAATTAGCCCATTATTTGTATATCATTGTCTTATTAATTATGAATATTTGTCGCGATACAATTCTTAAGCCTTTTAACAATTTCACACTGGATAAAAAAAAATAACGTCAGAAAGTAATATTCGTAGGCGTTTTAGACCTAGGTTCTGTTTGTGGTTCTGTTCTGGAACAAAAGTTCTAATCAATAAAGTGAATATTCTGCTCCGGTTATAGCAAAAGAATTATACGTATTGGGAGTATGAAAATAAAAATAATTATTATTAATATAATGATTTGACTATCAATAATAAATTTAAATCTAGAGACCCCTTTATCTTACTCCGATGCGCGCTCAATACACTATACGGACACTTATATTGCTATCCGTCGATTTGCGGTATTGCAAAAAACCGAGGTGCTGACTTGGGCTAGTGGCAAGAGGTTCATACTTTGCGTATCTTGAACTGACCGCGGGTGACTCGTTCGACGTCACGTATTGTGTTATTTTTTTTTCGCTGGTGACATTACTCCATTATCATCGAATATGCAAAAATGCGCTGAGCCTGCGCGTAGACATGTATGCAGCCGCCTATATGAAATCAGCGAAAGCAATCAATGAATCTAATTTCTTGTTTAAAATGCCCGGTGGCGCATCAGCTGGCGTTTGTTCAGCTCAACAATATGTCGCGTGCGTAGCGTGCGTGTACGTGCGTGCTGTGTACGGTGTTGGGGTGCGGTGCGTGCGTGACTGCGCGCGTGCCCGTGCGTGTGTGTGTTGTGTAACCCTGGCCATTCCGCACCCGTGGGCAGCCTTGCTGCTCTGGGTCCGAAATGAAACACGCTGAGTTCCGCCTGACCTGCGCAATGATTTTCGCAGAAAAACGCCCGAATGAACTAACATCGCGTTTACAACAACACGGGGTTCGAAAAATTCGCAATCTTGGGAGCGGTTCTTGGTTGGCGCATGTCTGAATGCTAGCCGCCGTCCGAAGCGCGTAGATTACGACCGCGAACGAGAGAGAGAGACGGGATTCTTTGTGGAGGAGAGGGTGGGAAAGGGAGAGAAGATGAGGAATTGAGGTGAGGTAGGAAGGCGAGTGCAAGGATAAAATTGGGGCGTGACTGCGTGTGCGCAGAGATTGGGGGGAGTGTGTGTGAGTGTGTGTGTGTGTGGTGTGTGTGTGTGTTGTGTGTTGGTGTGTGCGTGTGGTGTGTGCGTGTGGCTCGTGTGTGTGTGTGTGTGTGTGTGTGTGTGTGTGTTCTGTGGGTGTGTCTGGTGTGCGTGTGTGTGTGTGTGTGTGTGTGTGTGCGTGTGCGTGCATGTGTGCGTCCGTGCGTGCGTCAGAGAGAACGATATGTGCTGAGAGGGTATATACATACTGAGCAAAGAGCCGGTTAAGAAAGAGCGAACATGAATGGACGGCTATAACTAAGCGCACATGCGTGGGCACACGCGTGCATGCTTGTGTGTGCGCGTGCGTGAGTGCGTGTGCGTGCTTGCATGTGCTTATATATGGACATGGATGTATGCGGCGGCAGAGCGTGTATGCCCTTACTACTGCTCAAGGGGTCGTTGTCGTATCAGGTACTACAGATATGTACCCGAGGTACATATATGTATACACAAAGTGTACCAGACTTGTACTACAGAAGTGTACCCTAACCCTAACCCTAACCCTAGCCCTAATCCTAACCCTAACCCTAATCCTAACCCAAACACTAAACATACCTCATATAAAAATATAAACATAATACTAAACACCTAAACTACCTCGGTACATATCTTGTAGTACCGATACGATACAGACCCATTCTGCCTTACTACTACCTTATACATATTGAGAATTGTCCAGGCACGTTCTTCAACGAGGTTTCGAGAGTTTATCCTAATAATTTATGCTCCTGATTTTTCTTGCACCATAAAATCCATTGAAATTATCTTTTGTAAACACTGTCACAGAGAATTGTGTGTGTATTCGGCGTCGATTGGTGGGACGAGGAGTTTACATGCATAGACTGGCACCATACACGCCTCTGTGCACACGGATTAGCTTGAAGGGTAAACGCAAGTCAGCTGATCTCCTTTGTTAACTTAGACTATACGGCGTAAACAAGTAGGTTGCGGTTGCGAACGCAACACCTGTCTGCTCGTTATACTTTTCAAATCGTTTCCCGTTCGTTCGGTATCCAGGCGGAAACGGACTAAACTCTATACTAGGCAGGCGTATGTATAGCAGAACACTATGCGGGGCGAGCATAGCGACCGTATATAGACGCCGTGTTAGTGAAATATACTTGGTCTTATGTAGCCCATATAAGGTGTTTTAGCGCCCCCGTATTTCGTGACTAAGCATATTTGTCGTAGTTTTCTAACATCGGGTAGGGAGAATATTCAGGTCCTCTGTTTGTCGTCCATTTTTGATGTCCATGTACAATATCACGACGGGAACGCTTGCAACTGCATGGCTGCATGGCTATATCTGACAGCTAGGTTGCCTCACCTCTATTATGGCCACGAAGGGTCGTTGTCGTAACAGGTACTACAGATATTGTACCCGAGGCAGTTTTAGGTTGTTTAGTATTATGTTTATATTTTATATGAAGTATGTTTAGGGTAGGGTTGGGTTTGAGTAGGGTTAGGGTTAGGGTTAGGGTTAGCGTTAGTGTTGGGTATGGCCGTACACTTCTGTAGTACAAGTGTGTACACTTTGTGTAACATATATGTACCTCGGTTACATATCTGTAGTACCTGTTACGACAACGCCCTTGAGCTCTATTATGGCGACGCTCTAACTCACGCTGAGAGGGTCTATGTCCCCAGGGTACTGCCGGAACGTAACCTGGTACGGTCCCGGTATACCGGAACGTACCCTGGTACTATCTAATATGCGCGACCGTACCTCGCCTACTCCACTAACGAGTTTAGGGAGTCGCCTACGACTCCCTAACCCTAACCCTAACCCCAACCCTAACCCTAACCATATCAGATAGTTACCAGGGTACGTTCCGGTATACCGGACCGTACCCAGGGTACGTTCCGGCAGTACCCTGGGGTACATAGACCCTATGAGCCTTAACTCACAGCTAGCCACTACAGTCCTCTAAAAATGTGGATATGTGCTTAGATACCTCGTCTAATAAATTAATCGACACTAGACACTGCGTGATCGTCAAGGGTGCTGCCACGTTCTCATGTCCGGCATGTTACAACGTCATTAATTCCTCATCAACAAATATGTTCGTATCATGTAATCATCATTGAGATGATTAAGAGCTGTGGATCATGGCTAGCATGCGAACATCGGGTTCATGCCTGGGGTTCGATACGTCTTTTGTTTTAATCGCGCCACCTTTACAAAAATTGTCCTTTAGTCGCTACATCGGTGGGTGGGGGAGGGGGGGATACGACGAATCACAATTGAATCAACAATGTTACACTAACCTATGCTCCTCGAAGAACCAAAAGAAATAATAATACCTCGACTCATTAATCATCGTGAGACGCGTAAACAGTTTTGGCATTAGTTTTGATGCCTGGCAAAAAGAGCAAGTCTATAATCGCGGTTATTCGATACTGCCGACATGCCCCCCCCACCCACACACCGCATACTAAGCAAAGTGACATTAGATTTTAACACCTATGTTATGGCCGAGGGGCGGGATTACAGTTCTTTAGTCCTACGGGTCGTTGGTCCTACGGGTCGTTGGTCCTACGGGTCGCTGGTCCTACGGGTCGTTGGTCCTACGGGTCGTTGGTCCTACGGTGCACGCAGGCACACGTTTTCTTTAATTGTTTGTTAATTTAATTTTTAATTTTTAATTTAATTATTTTTTTCATAATTTAATTTTTAAATTTAATTTTGTTTTAAATTCAATTTTAATTTAAAAAAAAGTTAATTTAATTTTTGATTAATTTTTTTAAAATTAATTTTTAATGGATTTTTTTTAATTTCATTTTTTTTAAATTTTAAATTACCCACGACCAATGTGTCCTACGGTGCACAAATAATACGCTGATGCACATTAAACTTATAATAAATGAATACTAACAATAAAAATAATTATACTGGTCAAAAATATACACAGTGTATTTACACAGCAGCTGGACTGCCTGTGTAGTGTACCACAGCACTCTTTAAACTGGTGTTCGTTCACCAAGGGGGAATGAAATTATTTTGAGGTGAATGAAACTAGACCAAAAACATAAGGAAATATTGTCGTGGGTGAATGAAATTTTGTGATAAGGTCTCGAGGGTGAATGACACTGAAATAGTTTAAGAATTATTTTCTTCTTCCTCCTCCACTCCTGTCTGGTGCATACTTCAATCATAGTGAAAAGCCACATACATAAAAAAAATTTAAAGACAATTTAAACAAATACAATTAAAAATTTAAATAAAAAATAAATAAATAAAATAAATAAAAAAAATTAACAAAATTGCGATTTTAAAAAAAATTGGTCATTCACTCTACCCCTCTTACTAATAACCGTAGGACCAACGACCCGTAGGACCAACGACCCGTAGGACCAACGACCCGTAGGACTATAGATCGGTTCCCAGGGGCGGGGCACTACACGTATAGCGGCTATAAGCGAAATGTCTGCGAGATCGTCATCGATCTGCTTTCTATATACGGAGAGTCGTACTGGTCGCAATCATTCATCACTCTATCGGACTAATAATATTATGTTTTCATCTTTGTGTGCACTAAATTGGCGTAATGAGCTTTAGAAATAAATATCGTCATTGAAGCGAGTGGAGAGATTCCTGTCCTACTGCCACCAAAAATAGCACCGGTATCACTATGTTTACTCCATAGATATTTCTTATCTTCCCTGACGCACACAAGCGTGTGTTTATGTTCTCTTGTATCGTCCTGATATTTGTCACGGAATTTAAGATGTTTTTTCGTTGCTTGTGAATACCATAGCGTACAGCTAGCAAACCAGGGGCGGATCCAGGGCTGAAGCTAGACAGTATTTTTCCAGATTTTAAGGGCACATCCCCCAAAACGGGCACCCCACCCCACAGTGGGCGCCGTTCGGCGCGGAAGCACATGGCGGGGGGTCTGGGGGATTTCAAAATTTCAAGGGTCCATTGGCACAAAAATAAGCACCATTTGAGCACACATTTAGTCAAGCACAATAGCTAAAACCATATGGACTTTTATTTCTGCTTCATTTTGGCCTGCGCGTTGCATACAGCAATTAATGCAGAATGATTCAAGCACTTCCCTTCTTTTCGGATATCAAAGCTAGTTTTGTTACCATGTAAAATTTTGATTTCCTTCCAGTCCTGTCAATGAATCAGTGGAAAAAGAAAACAAATAAAGAATATAGCCAAATTCCATCAAATTTTTTTTAGCGCAAAATTTCGAAGGGCACTTTGAAATCTAGACCGTATTTCCCAATACGGCAAATACGGTCTGAATCCGCCCCTGCAAACAGTATATACAGAACAACTACCCTAGCGTCTGTATTGACCTCGAATACCCTAGTTTTTTCCGTCGCGTATGTATTGGTCAGCCAATTTTCGATTTTCTGCTGGATATATGTACACTACAATGACGCCTATCACGAAATGCGTACCAAGGTCTCCCACAATAATCCACGTACGCTTGAATGTTCAGTTGAATAACCTCACCCATATTAGGTCAGAGCATGTTGCGCGCGTGCACGGCGCACATTGTATATATATATATAACAGGAGCTAATAATGACAAATTTAAAATTGAATTATTATAGCTCTTGATATATGTTATATTTTGTCGTACTTATGTACTACATGTTTTATAATTCTTCGAGAGAGAGAGAGAGAAGAGAGAGAGAGAGAGATGAGAGAGAGAGAGAGCGAGAGGAGAGAGAGAGAGAGAGGAGAGAGAGAGAGAGAGAGAGAGCGCTGCGCGCGAGAGAGAGAGAGAGACAGAGAGAGAGAGAGAGACACGAGAGCGAGAGAGAGAGGGAGAGAGAGAGAGAGAGAGAGAGAGAGAGAGAGAGAGAGAAGAGAGACGTGTTTGAAATACTTCAAAACGCGCTCAGCTGAGCTGTATTTTCGCGGAGCAGTGACCTGGCGGCAGCTAGAGAGCACTTCTCTACTCTACGCAAAAGAACATGTGGTTTACGTTTAACTTGAGTCAGAACTTTGCTAGCAAGTGAGATCGCATCCACAGAGCGGTTTTATTTACTATAGCCCCCACGGCGTGCCTCGCCATGAATATTTAGCGACGAAAAGCTCTCCCCTTAACTCCCTCCATTCTCCGATTCTCATTCTCCATCTCCATCGTTTTCTCTAGTGATCTTTTTTTTTCTTTTTCTCGTGAGCTTCTGTTCTCCCCCTCTCTTTCTCTATCTCTCGCTTTCGTTCGCTTTCATTCTCTCTCTCTCTTCTCTCTCTCTCTCTCTTCTCTCTCTCTCTCTCTATCTCTCGCTTCTGGTTCTCTCTCTCTCTCTCTCTCTCTCTCTCTCTCTCTCTCTCTCTCTCTCTGCTCTCTCTCTCGCTCTCTCTCTCTCTCTCTCTCTCTCTCTCGTCTCTCTCTCTCTCTCTCTCTTCTCTCTCGCTCTCTCGCTCTCTCGTCTCTCTCTCTCTCTCTCTCTCTCTCTCTCTCCCTCCTGCCTGCCTGCCTGCCTGCCTTTCTTCTTTATAGCTCTCTCTCTCTCTCCATCGCTATATGCCTCCACCCCCTCTCTCGCCCACTTTCTCGTCGTCAGTCCCCGTCACAATAGCCAGTAGGCGTGGCCTGGTAACGGTGACTGGCTCATGGCGCAGCGACGTGATATTTTCCGCCTGTAGAGCGCTAGCTCGGGAGTTCACGGTAGTGCCGCGTGATCGGAGACTCCTTTGTTGCTGCGCGCCCGTAGCGATGAGCCTGTAGTTTGTCTGGATCCGATAGCGCCATATCGCCAGTGATGCGTCCTACCCTGCTGGCTGGACATGTAGCGCCTGGAATGCTCAGCGATGTAGTTCCCGTATACGGTTATATGGACGAATAGTCTATTGTGCTGGTGATTTTATCCGCTATAGATATAGATATCTCAGACGTGTGAGATATTGGATTGTGTATGTGCATGTGAGGAATGTGTAGATCTTCATTTCGCCTGGCAAATACTCGCGTTAACGAATGATCTGATACTAGCAAGCGTTAACGATGGATGATGCTGATTTGATGCTTAGTGTGTATCGGCTGAGAAATGATCAGAACTAGCACCCCTATCGTCATCGTATCGGGGCAACCAGCTGCTGCTCTCGCTGTCGCTGGGCTCACATCGTATGATGGCATTGTGCAATCGAATAGCGTGAGTCAACGCGCGCCAGTCGTGATAGGGGCAGCCGACGTCAATACGTGTGTTTGACCAGCGCTGTTCTAGTAGCGCGTACCGCACGCATTCACGCGTAGTTGTTGCGTATACTAGACTTGAGTGTTCACACCAAAGAATCGAAGATGTTTTCGCGGCAGTCTTCCGCTGTCTCCAAGCTGGGCAGCTTCAGTCACAACGACCTGGTAAGCTTCCATAATACTACCGTACTTTCGTAGGCTGATGCAACGTTATGCGTAGTCTAGCTCTACCAGTCTACGTAGGTAGTAGCCCCTTCGCTCCCGCTGCAGGAAGCGTTAGGCCTAGTCCTACTTTAGGGGCCCGGTACAGAGCCACTATCATAATCACCCTAGCCATAACCTTTACCCTAAGCCTAGCCTCTTACATGTCACCCTAAAGTCTAACGCATACCCTATAAGTATAACTTATAAGTCTGGCCCATGCTCTATAACCCCCAAGACTAGCTCATATCGTATAACTCCTAAGCCTAACTCGTGCCCTATAACCCCGCAATACCGCAATATCGTATAACCCTAGATTTATCCCTTGCATATCCTATTACCCCTAACTATATACGATATACCCCGTACCAAACCCCAACCCATCTCCCAACTATATATCAAGATTCAAGCATCAACCCACTCCCTAACCATACCCTATGCCAAACCCAATCCTACCCCATAACCACGTACCTTCCCTATGCCTAACCATACTATACCCAGCATTAGTTGATTCCTAAACTGGGGTCCTAAATTATAGATTGTATCGCTACGGGGGTTTAGTCGGCAACGACAAGTGGGTTGAACACGCGAGTGAGATAACAGTTCATTAGAACTTTAGATTAATTGATGTTTTTAGTCGCAATTCACTCGTTGTTTTCGTAGCATTATGGTGTTGATGTACCGTATATAGCGTAACGGCGGTCACGAGACGGTCACCCACTATCAAGTGAGTCACATATATACGACCATAAACCTTTTTTGATCTCGAGTTGTCCGCGTATGACAGCCGATTGGATGAACATAGCAGAGGTCAAACCAGCATGCGTGCAGCCAGTATGATCTATCGTGTGCGTATTTTGAACTTTCGCGGAGGTTCTTACTTGAATTCGAAATCGCGGTAAATAGCTGTGGGTTACTCAGCAGTCACATCTGTCTCGCGCACGCCAGAATCACGTGCATTTGGGTTAATGTAAGCAGACGGGTACTGCGAGAATAAGCCGCAGCCATCCCTATACTAGTTGTAGGTCAAAAACCCACGACGCTAATACGATTCAAGGAGGGAAAAACGTCGGCAGAGCAACTAAATGGAAAATAGTCTCTCCTCGAGAAAGGATCCTAAGAACATAATTAAGTCACTCGAAAAATGAATGATTAAATGCAAATTTACGCTCATTTACAGGAGCGCGTACGTATATATATAATAACAATAATAATGCCCATTTATATGAGCATTTATAAGCAATATTATTAATATATGAGCATTTATGATATATATACGCATTCGTGTACATTATACCGCATTAGTTTTCTTTTTTTCCGTAGCTGAACCCTGAAAATCCTGAGAATCCTGAATATCCTGAATCCTGAAACTCCTCGTGTGAACGCAGCAATATTTGCTTAAATTCAAAATAGATTGTTTGCGTGGGCGAAACTAACATCGCAATGGGGAGAGGGGGAGGGGTGAAGCAGCGACTACATTGAACAAGTGCCAATCCCGCGGACAAAAACTAGCACACAAGGTCACAAAACAAAACAAAAAATGATCAAGTCTGTTTATACATTATGAGCTGATGAGTACCACTAAATGCATGATCACTATGTGAGGCAGTTTGATGCAGTGCTAATGCAGCTGATTTAAAGCCTTTTAAATGTTTTAACATTTCATTCCCTGTCTGGAGCGGTATCAGACAGCAAGGGAGTGTTCCTCTCTTTTGCACATCTATTTTGTGTTCTCAAGTAATAAGTTCAAATTGGCTTCCTTGGAGAGGGAGGACGATGAAAGTAGGGGAGGAGTACGCTAAAGAAGAGAAAATATCAAGGGCAGGGTTCACCCTACGTTGCGCAAACGGGGCGCGCGCGCCCCGTTTGGGAAAACTCCCCCCTGTTTCAATCGTTGCGCCCCGTTTAAATTCCACCCCCAATAAAAGTTTGCCAGCGAGGGAATCGATCGTCAACAATTCCCATTCGAAAAGGACAACCGGCGCGTGTATTTTTACCGTGCAACGCATGCACTGCAGACAATACACAAGGACAAACAGTCAACCTGTCCCACACGGAACACTAACTGTACACCGACTTGGCTATCTTATATATACAAGAACCCCAAATACTGTCTATGGTGTGGTGACGATTTTACGCATTAATTAGTGGTACGGTAAAAAAACACGCCCCCGGACCCCCCTGGTTCCCCCCCCTCCCCTCCCCTCCCCCCTGTTTGAATTTCATCCTGGGGAGAACCCTGAAGGGCAATGAATAGGAGTACTGTAGAGGAGGAATGGTGGAGAGATAGAGGAGAGAGGTGCAGTGAAGTATGGGAGGGGAGGGGAGATGCCGGAGAGGGAGGGGAGACACCGAGGGGGAGGAGGTGAAAGATTATGAGAGGGATGATGACGGAAGTAGAGCAGGGGAGAAGGAATAGAGGGAGGAGGTAAAGGACAAAGGCCGGGTGGGATGATGAGGAAATTGTAGCAGGTGTACGACAATGAGAGTGCAGGGGAACGGTAGAGCAGGTGAATGATATTGAGAGTACAGGGCAAAAGTATAGCAAGGGAAGGAGGTGAAATCCAAACAGTTTCGAACCAGACGAACACAAAACAAGGCTGTATTATACTAAGTCAAATACTGGTAATAAGAGTCCGTGTTAATAAGTCCTAGCCAGAGTTGTTGTTTGGGATTTACAACCCACTTACTATGTATGTACCCACTAGAACTGTTAAAATTGAGCATCATAGCAGGATTGGGACGTCTAAGTACTTGTGATTTGACTTGTGATTTTTAAAGAATATGCAGAGCAAGACAAATATGCATATATATTCATTTGAACAATGGGCATTGGGCACATATTTTTATTATCTTGTTTAGACATCGTCGGGGGACCAGAAAAATGCAACTGATAACTTTGGATTACCAATTTCCGCGTAACCAGTTACCGTTATCACAAATGAATGCAACAGAAAAAGGCATCCATTCTACTTTTTCATAACCGTTCATTTTAACATTCATAAGCTATTTTATCATTTTCTGTCAACATGGCGTGATTAATCGTATCTATCTCTATTTGTGATGTATTACGTAACATCCTGTATGCAGATAGAACAAGTCAACGAGAGTTGAGATGTCTTGATGACAAATTTGCCTTTATTCAGTGACTAATAGTCCAATATAACATTTTTAGTGGTTGTATAATGTATATATGTATTAATGCACACTGCTACGATACTGCATATATGATAATAAAGAATTATGTCTATAATACCTATATGGCATGTGATGCAGCTACCCTTATTTCACATAGTTGTTTACTACTCTTACTGGAGTTCACCACCCTTATTTCATGAGTATATACTCATGAAATAAGGGTGGTATCATACAAAATAATAAGCTTTGGTCTAGATAATAAAAGGGGTTTTAATGAGAGATTAAAAATAAAAAAATCTTATATGTACTCAAAGTATGAGTCATGTTGAAATTTACAATGACTATTACTGCCCAAGTCAGAATTATTCGAACAGATTTGATCAAATCAGACTGTGGATTTGTGGGTTCACAACTTCACACAATCGCATGCCTACCTCGTTATATGTAAGCGTGTTAAATTATACGTTTGTTATTGTTTTAATAGCAAATTGAATTTTATTATGGACGTGCACATCCATCACTGTCAGTACAAAGGTACACTACAACCGTGCCCTAGCTACCACTATACCTCCAACCGTCTTTCACCCCTTGATCAATATTCTTAGATCTGATCTTGAGGCATTAGTACCAATACATAAAAATATTTCGCGTATCGTGTCTGATATCCTATCATTAACTAGCGAGGAACGTTATCCAGTATGGCCATGTTGACGGAGTTGATAAGACCAACCGTGCCTATACATACATGATGACAGATGGTCTGTAACGCAGTGTCATGCTTTGCAGTTTTTATTTAGTGTAGGCAGCGTTTGTATTAGATATTCAAAGATGGCATTCTTTTAGGCAGGTGGATAGAACGGTATGCGAATAGGGACGAAGAAAAAAAGCAAGTTCAACACAGGCGCAGTGTTCAGATCAAAATATTTCATTAGTAGATAAGTTGTCGGTGCATGTGAACGCGCAAGTTTGTTGTGAGCAACAACCCTGTTATGGTTATTGGCAGGGAATATCTCATCGAACTATATTGGAAAATACTGTAGTGACGTATACCATCTATTATCTGCGCTCTGTCAGTGTAAATCATGTTGAATATTTATGGCTCAACTGAATCCAATGATTTGGTTCACATTTCGAATCGAGTAAGTTTCGTTAATTCAGTAATTGTCTTCGACTTCTACTCTGCATTATATTCAAGGAGTAGCTACTTAGAAACCGACATATAAGTACAGCTCAGAACTATTATTTAGTTCCCGTTTCAAGAGATGACCGAATTTATGAGGGTACCTAAGGACATACTTGTGTTGGATGTGCATGGGCACAACTTCTGAGTGACAATATATAAATTAAAAAGGCATTCAAAGTTGAACGGAAAACACGTCATTGCATATAGCTATATTTATATATGATTGTTCACTTTGCATGACTTTAATTGCTGTCCGGCTGTGCAGTAATTTACATAATATCATAATGCTTAGCAGGCGATTGCATGGTAAGGCCACGAACATTAATAACATGCAGTATCACTGTCTCGTCGTTAATAAGTACAGTAATATGTAAAACCTATATATCTAGTCTGTACAGTTTTATTGTTAATTCTGCACACTAACTACTACACACTAATTTCAGGACATTTCATAATGATGTGATAACGTTTCTATACAGACTTAATGTTTAGCATAGGATTGAACAGATTTTGTACCAGATTTTGTTGTTTCTATCGAACATTTATCTATGTACATGTAAATATATCATATATTCTATATTCTATATTCTCGATGCAATCATTATTAGTCATGCTGGTTATACCACAGAATCAAATTAGATGTATGGTTATTATCTCCATGGCATATGACAGACAATGCCTTGATAGTAACCACCACTGCAATTTCTATTGTCTTTTTCTGTTGCATTTATATATATATGCTTCATTTAAAATATATAAAGGTAAATCAAGACAAACTATGCAAGGATTCCTTTGTAACATAACAATTAACCTATAAGTTATAACTGAAGAATATGTTTGTTATAGGAGGCTATTCCTGAAAATCAGATGGCTGCGCTGGATAAGAGGGCATCCATACAGAACGATCGAAAACGACAGCACTACATATCAGAATGCCCGACAGTCGCCACCGAATTCCCAGATTTCGAGGAAAACCTGATTCCAACACCCCCGGACGGCGGGTGGGGTTGGATCATCGTGGCTGCGTCATTCATGTGCAATCTCATCGTAGATGGCATCTGCTATAGCTTCGGTATCTGGCTCGTCGAGTTTATCGACTACTTTAAGGAAGGCTCTGGCAAGACATCGATGGTGGGATCGCTATGTGCTGGCTTTTACCTCATCATGGGTAGGTTATATAAGTCACATAGTTCAAGGAATGCAACGTGTTCCCAGCGTATAAGTTTGTTACGTAATGATGGATCACCCCCCATCAGCCCCCTTTCAGTTCATACAACCAAAAATTCCTTACAAAGAATAAGATTTATTCATTTAGTTTAGTCACCCCAGGGGCGTGTACAGGATTTGTACCAGGGGGGGGGGGTCTAACCGTAACCCAAACTTGCGATCACGCAAAAGGGGGGTCTGGGGTAAAAATTAAAATTTTGAAATTAGACCCCCTTAGATGCGTTTTCTGCGCGAGCAGGTGGGGGTCCAGACACCCCCCCCCCTGTACACGCCCCTGCACACAGAGAGCCCAACTGTACTGCACTTCTGACTGTATGCATGACATTGTATGCTAAGTAACGCTGAGAGGGTCTATGTCCCCCAGGGTACTGCCGGAACGTACCCTGGGTACGGTCCGGTATACCGGAACGTACACTGGTACTATCTAATATGCCGGACCGTACCTCGCCTACTCCACTAACGAGTCTTCTGTGGGAGTTGCCTATGCCTACTCCCTAACCCTAACCCTAACCATATATCAAATAGTTACCAGGGTACGTACCAGGGTACGGTTTCCGGCCAGTACCCTGGGCGACATAACGCCCTAGTATGCAGGGGCGTTGTATCAGGCATTTGTACAGAGGGGGTGTCTAACGTAACCCAAACTTGCGAGCACTTGCGAAAGGGGGGTCTGGGAAGAAAAATTTTGAATTATAGCCCCCTTAGATGCGTTTTCTGCGCCTGAGAAGGGGGGGTCCGACCCCTGGACCCCCCCCCCCCCCGTACAGCGCCCCTGCCCTATGAGCCTTAAGTAAATGTTGGAAGATATGTCCTCTAGGTATACCTGTGTGTCAGATAACTTGTTTTAATATCTTTGCGCGGTTGTAAACTCGCATAGTACATTCAATAGTTTAGCTAGTTATGACATTGTTATTCGGTTATATGCTCACCATCAACTCCTTTAATTATTATTATTTGAGTGCAGCAGATCATGGTGTGTGACGTATGAATTATGTAGGCCTTGTAACGCTAGGCATCCATTCCGATTCTAGATCTTCTAGTATCTGTAGTATAAATGTATAGTATAAACCACATATATACAAAATTCTATTGATTAAATCGAACGTTGGTCCTTGTAGAAACTTATTTGCCCAAGAGCGATCGAAAAGCACTATAAGGTGATAAAGCATAGGTATGAATAATCCAGTACGCGAGGAAGACACAAAACGTGGTATTACTAACTGGCAAACAAATCGTAAAATGACCACCCTTTTTGTAGTATAGGCCTATATCTCATTGGTAGTTCGCTTTTGGTTGGACTCTATCTGGTTGCATTTCATCAACAGAGATGCCTATACTTCTTCTTTTTAGTACAAGCTACTGCCTAGGTTCGCTTGCTGATATTTACTACACATAACATTTCATGGACACAAATGGTCACTGAACTTTAGTACATAATCCGGGATTTGTGTCGAGATGCACTATTTTCGATAGACAAGCAGTAAGCCGCGCAACCGCAGCAGAGCAGCAGCAACAGACAGCAGTAGCAGCCGAGCAACCGCAGCCAGCAGCAGCAGCAGTGATCATGGCACTCGGTAGCAGCAGCAGGCAGCGAGCAGCAGCAGCAGCAGCAGCAGCAAGCATGTAGCAGTGGTAAACGTTGCAGCAGCAGCAGCAGCAGTAGCAGTGGCGGTTGGCAGCAGCGCAGCAGCAGCAGCAGTCAGCACAGCAGCAGCAGCAGCAGTCTAGCGAGTGGCGCTGGCAGCCAGCAGCAGTAGCTAGTAGCAGTGGCGCTGGCACGCAGCGAGCAGCAGAGCAGTAGCGTAGCAGTGCGCGGCAGCGGAGCAGCAGTAATAGCACTTAACCAATGAGATGAAGTACTTAGGCTCTAGCCAAAAACCTTTTTGGTATACTCTCCTGGCAGGGCTCGAATTTAAGCAACGAGAAGGGCAAGGCCAATTTTTTTTAGGGCATGTGAGAAATGCGCTTGAATTTCTCTTAAAAATGGAAGGGCACAGAGACAATTTAAAAGGCACCAAGGCACTCAAAATTGAGAACGGCACAAACGGCACTTTTGTAAAATAAAGGCAAACTCATAAGCAAATTAGTACAGATTCAACATCGTCTTTGCTTTTAATGTACAAAAACACGAATATGCCCCATGTGAAGCTTACCCTGTAACACCGACCCTGTACCCCCGTCTGCTAAATGGCAAGGCTACAGTAACAAAAAGCTCGCTAAACAGCTTTTACATGCCGCTATCCAGGGCGAATAATTTATCCGATGCTGTTATTATTCCCTCTGCCGATTATCGTTTTAAGAATCGATCATTTGCAAACTACAGCACGCACGCGCAGCGTGTTATGTTGACGTCGACTAAAAACGAAAACCTCTAGGGCAGTTAGATTAAGCGCGCACGACGCAATTACCACAAAAGCAAGCAGGTGACTGCCGTCGGTTCAGGTTGGATTTTCAGGGCAGTTACGGCGATTGATAGGGGCCACCGGAAGGCAATTGCCGGTTCGGTGCCGTCGGTTAATTCGAGCCTGCAGTGCCTTGGGAAACACAATCAAACAACGATTAGTAAATATTATTATATATTAATATATACTCATAGTATATAAGTATATATATTATTCATTATGTTACATATAATATGGTACAATGCCTCTGTTATGTGAGCGCCATCCGAGAGAACGCCGTACGTTTATTTATAACATAGATAGAGCACCTTCTGGTACTGGGGTGAAACCATTACATGACATCTGCTTTGTTTTACAGTTGATACTGTATCTATAACTGCACTGTACTATCTAAATACAATCAAACAAAATTATAATAACCAACAGGTTCAATTTTACAATCGTTTGATCGATTATACAGCTCGTGTACACCTGACATAATTACTAAATAATAATAACTAAAGCTTTCACTTAAGCGACCATGTCAGAGCGATTCACGGAACACATTATAGCATGAGCGCACACACAGATGCGTCTAACTATTCATAGTCACGAAGATAGCAGGTCTCTCGGTGAGTTATACCCGAACCGCTACCTGCTGTTTTGCCTCACCACTAGCACTAACTCGTTGTCTCAGGAACTAGCCGACTCGCTGAGGACTCTGATTCTGTCCACCGTGTTTTGCATCATCTTCGCTCAATTTCATGACTGGTTCAGGCCACCTGTCCGTTCTCAGTCCTGAATAATGCTCTCTTACGAATTCCTGCGCGCTGTTCCCGTTGACGTCCAGATGAGACGGGATACTAGAGAAGGTCGCCGAAAGGAGGTGTTGATCCAAGCGCTATAAGCGGCAGATGTTCGCGGCGGCCAATTCCGCGGCAAGGCGCCACGGCGGCCGGCGCGCGACGTCCTACGACCAGTATGCAGCGCTTGGCAGCTATGGCATCCGTGCGCCGGACACATATTGGCGGCCGCGGCACGGATCCATAGCTTGCCAGCCGAACAGTCGCAATTTTAGTGGGTGGGAACAGAGGGATAGACATTCTGGGACACGTGAACCAGTGTTCACTTGTTATTAAAACTGTAACCGAGTAATCTGTTCGTAACCGAGCTGATGTCACGCGAAATCACAGAAAGAATGTCGAAATTTGACATCTCGGGGAGACCGTTGCCAGTAATCGGGAACGGCTGTCAGAATCAGGAAACAACCTACCGGCGCTCCTTCTGCCGCCCCCAACGCTTGCAACGTTTTTGCCAACGTTTTCCAATCGGCAGGCTCGTAACGCGGAGTTGAGAAAGCCAGTGTTTTTTACGCCGCCTGCCGCGGCCTATTAGCCATAGACTGGACTCTCTCGCACCTCTCGGCTTTAGCTTAGTCACTCAATGGCTAATTCACGGGTGGGCAGGAGGTCCTAGTCTATATAATAGCCTTTTGCACTCGAAAACCTTTGAAACAGAGTAGGCCTATACCTAGAAACATTAGACAATTTCGTAGTAAAGAGATTGCGTATTTAGTTAGCATTATTTTATTGAAACGCTTCAGTGCCTTGTTAGTGATAGCCTAGGGTATCATAACCCTAGCAAAGCGCGTTTTCTTGCTAGTCGTGAGTCTAGTTAGTACTAGTGGTTCAAGGATAGAGAACATGGCTCCACTATTATATGGGCCCCAATGTATTGCATGGGCGAATAAAACCAAATGCATTTACATCAATATAAATCTTCATTATATCAATATAATACGGTTAGGGTTCGTGCGATTATTAGTAAGTTAATTACTAGTAATCAGAGCTTAGTTTATCACTATTACTATCTACTATTAGCTCCGTTGCGGTCCTGGTATTACTATCTAGTACTAGGTAATTCAGTAGTCACTAACTACGTACTAGTAGTAGTACTTACGTATAATTATTGTAAACATGTACTTTGTATAATACAACGTATTTCCTCGCCGTAGGGGTGAATTCAAAGCAGTCTAAGTGTGCCGCTAGTCGAGTCGTAAACAAACTGAACATCGCTACAATCATAATTGGCAAACTTTTCAGAGGAACATCAGCAT